ACAGCACTAAACATTGCCCTAAATCTGAGATGTGCTGTAACAACAGACAGGTCATCCTCCTGCGGCTGACTCAAATTACCAAGGAAGACAAAAGGACTGATAACAGAGGCATCCAGGATTGTGAACGGACCTCCAAAATGTGTTTGTTTGATAAAATGGTCTCACAACTTCCTTATTATTCCAAAGGGGCTAGCTGCAGCTGCCCAATGGCTCTTTTATCTCTAAACTACAATTCAAGCCTCTTACAACTGGTCTGGCACAAACTGCAGACTGTGCTTGGACACAGAAGGGGCACATGGCTACATTTTAAATTACATAGATATAAAAGAACATAGCTAGAGGGGAACATTTTAGAGTCAAGTCATTGTCCAGGGCAACACACCTGGCAAGCAGGCCAAAAGCTCACATTTCAGCTGAATAGGGGTTTAAGTTTTTATAGATCTCACCCTCAAGAACTACTAGTGAGTAGCCAAACTTTCCCTTCTTGGCCACATTAAGCAATTCTCTTGATGAAGAATATTCTTTGCTGTCATCAAAGTTCAAAAGACATGATGTGGCTGGAAGCTCATGAACTTTGACACAACTGAAAAGTCCTTTAGCAACTGCTCTGGGAGAGGTTAGGCGGAGAGATACTGTTAGCTGGCATTCTCAGCCTTTGCTCTACTCAGAACACAGGCTACGTGTCATTAACAGTATCAAAATGCTTGCCAACACAAGACAATATACTCCATGTTATGGTATCCCTTAAATCAATCTGGTAACAGAAGCTAGCTTGGACTGCTGCAGCTCATTTACCAAATAGCATATTGTAGTCTCACAGTAGAGCTCCAATACCTGCACAGGGCTGTTACTAGTGGCTGGATGAAATCTGTGGCGCTGCTCTTGATATGTACAGCTCTAAATTACCTCAGACTTGTCTATCTAAGAGACCACATGTCTCCCTGTGCCATGCTGCCACAGCTGCTGTCAGCAGAAAGACTCATGCCAGACATTTGATATTAAAGAAGGGGAAAAAAAAAGTGAGTTGTCAGCAAGACTGACTCACTGGGGGACAGGCTGCTTTGCAATTTACTCCCACCTTTGGTTTGAAATAGCTACAATCTACTGACCCTTAAACCGGGCTAAAAGGTATGCTGCTTTCTCACTAACACAATCAAGAGGGATATTTCTAGACACATCTGAAAAACATGCTTGCTTTCTAACTCATCATTATTTTTCTTTTATTAGGATTATGAAAAGTAACCTGAGGTCTTTCTCTTTTAAGAAACCATTCTTTAATCCAAGAACAAGCATATTTTCAGATACCATTATAGGAAAGAATAGCACAGTAGAGGTATTCCGATTGCTCTTCTTTACCTGCAAAAGGGCTGCCATCTATCTTGTTACCAAGTGCTGGCCTTTCTCCAATTCAGTTTGGTAAAGGATACAGGTAACACAGTATGTACATATATGTTAGTCTGATGAGACCTCTGAGCAAGACCAAAAGATGCCTGCAGGTAGCCTCAGCAGGTAGACAGCTATTACACTTTGAAAATCAACTTTTTGCGCTGCACATTGCCCATCTCTAATTGTTTCAGTGAATTAGCGCTAGGATACCAGACTTAACGGTAACTATTAAAAACAGACAAAGCTGTTTCACAGAAGGGGAACAGCCTTTTTTGAAGCTGCGTATCACCTAACTGTATCTGAATTTGAGGTTAGGTCTATTTTGCAGGTAAAATAACGAATGCCAATTCCTGAATAAGGCATTCACATTCTATCTGCGTGGTTCACAGATGCATACCCACATCTGAGTAAGATTGCTTCAGTTTCCCAAACTTTGCAAATTATAAAAAAATGTTTTTTTTTGGGAAGCAGAAAATTTCCTGAGGAAATTTCTCAAAATACAGCTTTCTAGTAATAAAAATAAATCCACTTTTCTTATACAGAAACCAGAAATACAGTAAACACAACTATATTTGTGAGTGGCTTGTTCAGTTATCACCTACATGAATGAGTCCTCCTGCATTCTTATCATGACGATTAGCAATTTCAAAATTTTTCCATCACTCACCAGCAAATCAATCGTCTTCACCGCTGCTTGCAGCTCATATTTCCTCAAAGGATCATATTGTTCGTCCATTTTCAAATGTACTGCCTGACCTTTTCCCTCAAGGCCTTGCACAATTCATTTTAATCAATCACTTCTTATTGATTGTTAGCACTTGCTCATTCCCCATCTATGTCTGCTTTATTGGATATAGTTTGTATTTAATGTCTTGTCATCCACTTGCTGCTCTTTCCACCCTTGTTGCTTTAGATTTCTCATTTAGGTTTCTCATTTAGCTTTATACTTCTGATCTCTTCAACTTTCATTCAAGTTCAAGTCTAAATTCCATCTTCTCTTAGCTTATCCTTTCTTCTGTATAACATACTCATACTTGAAATAAACTTCAGCTTTCAGCATGCCAGTCTTCACAGAACAGAAAGTGCTTCTGTGAATTTATGCAGTTCTAGCAAAAATCCTTTCTTGGTTTATGACTTCTCCTGACAGTTCTGTGTCATACATACAATTTATCTCTGCATACAATTCCTTCTTATTAGAAAGAAGCAAAGACAAGAAAGAGCTCCTGGAAACATTTTTTTCGCAATTCATCCAAAACCTATCTGGTTACCTGAAGATTCACCTACTTTCTGCAGGGCAAAAACACTGGCTTATTTGCAGCTGCCACTTTGCCCTTCTTGGCTTCATAAAGACTGACATGCTGAATCTCGGAAACTGCAATCATTTCATTTCTTGGGCCTCTCAGCAGTAACTACACAGCATTAACTCACAGAGGCTACATACAAGCAGTACAATCAAGATGACTGCCAGAAGCTGAGAACTGTGGTCCACGCAACTTCAGCAAAGATTTCAGGTGAGATTTTTGCTTTTAATGCAAGACATTCTTATAAAAAAAAAATTCAGTTTGCTTTACTACAACATCAACTATTTAGCTGATGGGAAATTTGGACTACTCTTCAAGTGCTCATATAGAAGCAAAAAAGGATTCATATAAAAGGAGTCAGGGTTTAAAGCAGGAGTACCTTGCAGGAACATCTCCCCAGTCCTTTCTTTTCTCAAGATTCTGTTTTCTGTGACCATTTCCTTTTTTACTGTCTCAGTTTTTTGGACATCACGATCATGAATGAGAGGAACAGTGATGCCACCTTACTGAGCACCTGGATGATTAGTCAGTAATGACAAAAAGCCTTCTTTATAGAATCATAGAATGGTTTGTGTTGGAAAGGACCTTAAAGATCATTTACTTCCATCCCCCCCTGCCATGGTTGCCCAAAGCCCCATCTAGCTTGGCCTTGAACGCTTCCAGGGATGGGGCTGTCACAGCTTTTCTGGGCAACCTGTTCCAGTGTCCCACCACCCTCACAGAAAAGAATTTATTTCTAATGTCTGATCTGAATCTCCCCTCTGTGAGTTTAAAGCCATTCCCCATTGTCCTATCACTGCATGCCCTTGTGAAAAGTCCCTCTCCAGATTTCTTGTAGACCCTGCTTAGGTTCTGGAAGGCCGCTATAACGTGAACCTTCTCTTCTCCAAGCTGAACAAGCCCAACTCTCTCAGCCTGTCTTTACAGGACAGGTGCTCCAGCCCTCTGAGCATCTTCGTGGCCCTCCTCTGTACTCATTTGAGAAGTTGTAAAAACCAAATTCTTCAATGCACTGGCCCATGGTACATTCAACACACGAACAAAAGGGACATCCTTAGAAACTATGACAATAGGTCTGTAGTATCAAAACAGTGCGGCTTTACAGCAGCTTTCTGCTTGAGTACACCCAAGATGCCCAGAGAGTCACCAACGGCCCCTGTCAGAAAGGAGGGAGGACTAACAGAAGAAGATTTAATAGAGAAGTGCTTGGTGCTAAATACTCCCTTTCACACTATACACCTTTCAAAGAGGTACATTTCTAGCTAGTTCTGGTCTGGACCTGTAGAGTGCACACCTTTTGGTCTCTGAAGTGTACCCAGTGAGCTCCCTGAAAGCACTGTCCCTTTTAGTTTTATCTGAAAGGAATACAATCAACATCCTCCAAGATCAATCTGGGCACCAAAGCTATGAGAGAATGACAAGCATTTAAAGGCACACAGGTTGATGTTTGTGTCTTGAAATTGACTCAGTAAGCTAAAATTCTAAACTCCATGCATCACTGACATGCATGTTGAATTTGTGTCAGTAAGGAAGAGCTAGTGAGCTTGCAGTATCCTTCTGCCCTTAAGCCTTGCCAGCAGAACAGACACACAAAGCCAGCAACCTCAGAGTCCAGCATCACAGAACTGCTATGTCTGAAATTCCAAAATGACTTACACATTCTTCTCCATCCATCAGCAAGCATGTACTGTTAGTCAATCACTTCACAACAGTGTCAGACCAGAAATAAAATTGTTTAAGTAAGAACTGGGGATAGCAAACATGTTATGTGGCTGTTTACTAAAAGCAAGTGGATATTTTGCTAGTCTGTTTGCCCTAGTAATTGGACTTTCACAGATATAAATAAACCAGAATGGCAAATGTCAACAAGTGCTGGAGTCCTGAGGAAGGGCTTCTCCCAGCCACGGGCTGCCAGTGAATGATGCTGCAAGTGTAAGAGTGGGACTGGTCTATCTGAAATTCCAAATCAGCTGTCTCTTCACTACGAGCAAAACTCATGCTGGGAACAGAAAAAGGAAGCTCTTTATATCTTCCTTTTTCTCTACTCTGAAATTAAAGGAAAAAGGAAACGTTCCTGTTGAATCACCTCCTCTTTTCACACTCTTCACAAGAGTGTGTGGGTATAGGTGTGCGGGTGGATGTTTCAGAATAAGACATATTCTCTATGCAACTGTATGCTATGGTAGGGTTAGTTTATTGCTATGGTAAGGTTAGTTTATTGCCCTTCATGTCTGACAAGATTTCAGCAAATTAAATTTATTTTCTTACAAGTACTGGCTTTATTTGAGAAAATGCAAGGGGAATTCAACTCACCGTCTGCAAGAAGTACTTCACAGATGTCAGACAAAGAGTCTCCAGGATTTTCATTCTGTGGCTTACCTAGGAAAAAGGAATAATTTTTTAATGGTATATATACTTGGAAATATCTTTAACTGGTCATCAATTCTGATGACAGTGATCAGTGCTATCATAGATTACTGTTTCATAGAATGTTTAATTTGCTCTAAGAAAGACCTTAGTGTTAGAAATCAAGCTGGGGGGAAGGGGAGAGAGAGAGAGAAGAGAAAATGGCAAAATCAAACAGAGTTTGGAAAACACTATGATAATCATTTCCACCTTCTTTTTTTAAATGAAATTCTGTATGCTGTGTTAAACGTAAGACAAAGCTGTTTTAAAGCTACAGTTTTGCAGATAGAAAAAAAAAAAAGAAAAAAGGGCTCTTGAAGAGGAACAAGCCAAGAGAGATCTTTAGATGGAATTGTATTTATTTCTTTTTAGTAAACATCCTCATGACTAGTCTTTTCTATTCACTACAGTAGGTAAGAAGTCTGGACTTCTTAGAAGTTTCCCCAAAAGTCAATACAGCAAACAACGGGAGAGGAGCTGAGCAAAAGGAATGGGAATGGAATAATGTTCAGGAAAATGCATGCAGGCATTGGGGTCTGGAATATAAGACAAGTGTGCAGGGTGGTGTTTTTGATAATACAATAAATTTGGCTGAAGAATTTCCCGTACCAGGTCAAAAAAAGCATGGCCACATTATGTAATGTGCTGGTCAAATATTAGAAGACTCTGTCAGTTACAATTTGTTGAAATTATTTTGATGGCTTAGTAACTGTCATGAGACTTTTTTTGCCGTATTATGCAATACCTGCCTATGTCACTCTTTTCATTATGCTGGATCAAATTATCACCTGTTTTTCCCACATCTGAGGCAACACTGACATAAGAGATAAAAGGCCTGCTTGAGCTCCAAATTGTGAGATTCAGCTAACTCAACAAACATGCTGTTGTACAATATTTGTGGGATCCTGATTATGTATATTGTTGGGTGCTCCAGAAGTGAATAAGCAATCTTACTACAAGGGACCAAGACTGAAAAGAGTCACTAGGTGAAGACAACAAGGCTAGGATGAGAAGAATCACCTGGCAAAGTGATTGCTTTACTATGGCTTTATTAAGGTTGCATGAAATCAAACACTCAAACCCAGTCCTTCTCTGTACCATATTATCGACTATTCCTTTCAACCTTCTTTTAAATTGCTCTGTACTGTGGGCAGTGCACAAGGCAGACCTACTCTGGCACTGACTTGTGGTGGTGCTTACTGTATTCTGATTCGGTTACGCTTGTAACAGGAGTCCAGTGAATGAGGATTCCAGTGAGATAAAGCACAGTGGTATTAGCTGATTCCTGCTCTAAAGAATTTAGATAATTTCAGGTTGCCATCCTGAAGTTTTGAGACTAAAAGCTAGAGGGCTTTTAAAATGTGCTTTTCAGAAGTGCTCATGGGTTTTGTATTGCATTTTCTGTGAAAGACCCTACAGCTGACCTGCAGATATTTGAGCAGCCACAAACGCATCTGAAATTAAAGCAAGTGGGCATAAAAAAATATACTAGTAAGTGTTAGGAAAAGTAATTTTTTAAAGTGGTATCAGAAGTAGAAGAAATGTTTCACCCTAACCTTGCTAAATACTAGTACATAAAGTGATGATAAAATACTGTTTGAACAGCACTCAATACAAAAAGGAGTTCTACAGGAAAGAACATTAGGAAATTAATAATTCTGTTTTCTCAACAGGATTTGAATGGCATTCAGTACATAAATAATGCAACCGCAAACTCAAACACAAAACAAAGTATCAAATAACTGCTAATTAACTGAGCACTATTGCACTATTTATCCTGTGTACTAATGAGGACAGGTTCTTGGGAAGGGGGTAAGAATGCACTTACATAATTGAAAGGAACCAATGCATGAACAAGGGTCCTAACTAGAGTTTAAAAGCCTACTTTGTACCTGTAATTCTGATTTTTGAACACTTTGTAATTGAAGTAACATTTTCTGGACCAAGTTCTGTCCGGATAGCCATTTAAGTAACAACAGAGATATCCCACCAGGAGCAAAATGTGATGCTTTACAAAAAAAAAAAAATATTAAAAAAAAAAATTGTTCTTTTGCTATCTCAATTTTATGTTGGGTTTTTTTTTTTTTTTTTTTTTTTTAGTATGAACTTAAATTGGTGCTACACTTCCCTTTGTTGCTACACTATTCTATTTCCAGGAAGTTAGCACTAACTCAACAGAAATACATTGTGGTAAAAGCACAAATAGCAATTTTGTTAATAACAACATTTGTGTGCCAAAAAAATATACAAAGAATGCATTTCCAGAGGACTTCTGTAGACACCTTCCAATAATAACTTATGAGTAACTGACAAGTAACCACAGTGCAAAACCCGATGAAAGTCAATAATACATTATATGAAGGACATGCAAGACTACAGATTCACACAGCTATTTTACAGTTCTAGCTTCAAAACACCTGCTGGAAATCTTAAATTATTTGTAAGCTTTAGAAATTGCCTCACAACTGCAGCTAAATACTGACTGATGACTGCTATGCCATGAACAAGACATAAATTTGGATGGTGTCCATTTGCAACCTTGAAAGAAGAGACTAATGATGATAAAGCCATTCATTTTAAAAATAAAATAATCGTAAGCTAAGTAAACAGTAAGATCACAGTACATTAATTTAAATTAGTACATGCTGTTGCAGTAATGCTTATGTTCTAGTCATTTGACTTTCGCTATTAATAAAACTTTTTATGAGCTTGTCCTAAACGCTGTTAGAAAATATTCACTTTAACATGTCAGTGCATTCATTTTCCCAGGGTTTTTTTTTTTAAGCAGTTTTCATCTAATTAATGTCAAAAATAAGAGAAGAAAACATCACATACATAATGCATTCAAGGGTACAGGTCACCGCCAGCCAGACACATCAACATGAGTTGTTACAAAACCTGATCGCAGAATGAATAAAGTCATGTCTGCATTTTGCAGAAATAAGAGAAGAAAGAATAAAGAATTCAAACAGTTTAAGCAGCAGGGAATGACAGTCTCAACATCCTATCTATGGTTGCCACCTCCAGCTGTCACTTCAGTTTCTCTTCTGGTTTGAAGCCAGATCACGTGTCAGATGAAACAATTTAGTGACACTAACCACAGTTTTTTGTTGACAGTCAGCCCTGTTACAAATCCACATCATGGCATTGGCATCCCAGCAATCATTCTATGTGGATATTGAGAAACACATCTCAGATTTATTAATCCAGTAATTTTAGCAAAAGTCCCCGCAGAGGACTCACTGACATAGCAAAACGAAGTGAGGACTACACTGTGGCACACTTCAGCTATAGAGTATTATAGACTATTTTGGTTTTCATAAACTTAACTGGCATTTGAGGTGCTCCTCAATAATCTGATGGCCTCACTGCCTGAAAAACACACCCACAGAGCCAGCAACCTCCGAGTCCAGTGACCTGCACAATGGAAATCAGCCCATATTTGAAGGGGGCTGAAGACTTGTGTACATTAAGACCTGTTTTAAACTCCCAGCCTGTTTGTCCTACGTTTGCTCATTAGAGACAAACACTGAATGCTAGTATCTCATTACTCCACATCTGTATCTTACTAGTAGTTGCAAAAGCAGTTTTCTTTCCTTGGTGATTTCTCTCCTTGGTGATTAAAACTGTGCAGGTACACTGAATGCTTTTTAGGTAACAATCAGAAATTAATGGCATACTGCTGTCTCAGGTAAGAGGTACATACTCATTCTGAGAATCTTTCCTGGGCTGACAAAGACTGTGGATACAGTTTTCTAGTTGGGTTATGTTACTTTAAGTACCTCTTCTTGCTTTTTGGTAGAACAGCAGATAATGAATGGAAAAACATGCAGGTTTCTTGAGCAGTTCTCAACTATCAAAATTTATAGAAGTAGATTCCCTTCATATTTTGGAAAAGAAAAAAAAAACAAACAAGAAAAAACCCACCAAAAAACCCAAAAAGGATACCACTGCTTAGAGAAAAGACTGTAAGTGGAAATGACAAGAGCCATTCTGTTGAATTGTTAACTACGAAACCTGATAAAACAGCAAGCAGTCTAATGGATACTTATGACTCCTGAGCTGTACTGAGACATCTCATCAGAAAGTCTCATAAAAGTGTCAGCACACTGTAGAAACAGTGTCATGGAAAACTATTTGTATTAGGTAAGACCTGTTCTTCAAATAACTACAGGAGGAATTCAGTTCATTTGAAGTAACTACCTCCAGCTGCAAATATCTATCTCCAAAAGCAGAAATGCAAGGGACAAGAGATAATCACTGAAAACAATTAAAAGCAAGAGAAGATGATGATCCATATGAAGAGAAATGGGAAATCTTGTGAGCGCATAGGCCTGAAGAAAGGCATAAAAAAATTGCTCCACAGGAAAAATAATCTAAGTATAGTTAATAGCCCATTAGCAAGCCATTTTAAATAAAAAGGAAAAATCTTTTTCCCAGATGCATAATCTGTCAAAGTTCCTGCCACAGATATCACAAACATAAAGAACTTCACAGGATTCTACAAGAGTATTAAATACAGACACTGCAAGCAGTCACCATGTAAGCAAAGGTAAATACTGGCAAGACATGCACACCTTCATTCCTCAGAGCTTAAATCAACACCCAGGTCACAGCAAATCTCACACCTGGAGCACTTGCACTGTGCAACACAGAGCAATGAGTGCAGAGGTCTCCTAGTAAGCACTGACCTGAACTGGCTTGCCTGAAGGCCAGGGCACATCAGCACAGAAGAAACCAGGCCAGAACAGTTCTGATCTATGCGTACAGAGGAGGGCTTACACCCTGAAGGACCATGCAGCGACACTACTCCCAGTCCCAGACCTAGTTCATATAACTGAACTTGTCTGATTGCAGCCACAGTCTATGCATTCCTGGTAAAGATGTACACACCGAGACTGAGGCCCTCAACAACTATTCATTAATTCAGCTTGGTACGTTTCCCTGAAGTTGCTATTGACCACTGCCAAAGAGCACCTATTTGTCACCTGATGTTACAAGGCAAGTAAAATCCCAAGGGCATGTGCAATAGGTATTTTTGTGAACGCACAGACCTAAGCAAAGAACCATCATTTGTCTTCTAGGAAACTCTCTGCAGAAAAGTTTGCAGTTTCCTGTGCATGAGTCTCTGGGCTCAGCTCCTTCCTATACAAACACACATACATACACACACATTTAGTATAGACCCACTGTTTTCATTCCACTAAAAGGCTGCCAAGAAACTTCAGTCTGAAGCTACATATGGACACAGTCAGAAACTGCAAACATTACCTCCTGAAACCAAACTAGGCAACTGTAATTAGCCCCGAAACTTAAAGTCTGAGACATGCTCATAAAAAGATATGAGGAAAAGGTTAGTAAAAACTGAACAGCAAGAAATGTTAGAAAAGGAGATTGTTGGGAAGGAGTGTAAAACTTAGTTTTGAACACACTGATCTGATACAGCCAGGCTGCAGGTAGGCATGTTCTCAGCAGCTTTGAAAGCCTCATAGCATCCTTAAGGTTGCTCAGCCACGAGACAGCAGGGGCGTCCAGCTAGGTCACCCTGACTCATCTGGGATCTCTCTACCCCTGTATTCAAAAGAATATTCTTGGTTGTTCATCTGCATCCAAAACCAGGTTAATTTCTGATTAAAACTCCTGAACTGCAGGATGTCTCTCAAGCACAAGCTCTTCTGCCAGTAAAACAAGCACCTTGCAAGACAAGTGCAACAAAGACAGAAGCACAATGCTCTCCTTAGTAGACAAAATAATGACATAACAGCAAGAGCTGAGAGGAGGCAAGACATCTAGAGACTACAAAGAAACAGTAATAAATATGCCTTGAAAGCAAAACACACAACCACCTAACCTGATACCAGTGCACAACTTAGATCACCTTTTCAAAGTGGCTCATGTATCTCTCTTTCTAAAGCTATTTCTTGGCTTCGTGTGTGCAGCCTAGCAAAGTTAAACTTTGGGTTAAACTAAAGATGTGCAGAGACTTTGCTATTTCAGTACCTCGCACTCTCAAGAGAGGAGTTTTTCTTACATTCAGGAAAGTGCTAAGTTTGACAATAATGTTTCTTTGTAGTTCCCACGGATGTGCAAACACATACAAACTGGATAGCTGTAGTCCTTCCAGTACAGACTTATTACTTGGGTTGGTAAACAGGGAAGGGAACTTCTGCCCTTACAGATTTTTGTGTCACACAGCAAATGATGCCAGCCATGAAAGCTTGGGTCATACTCAGTAGCTATTTTTCATGCTCAGATTTATCTCAGGAGATATATACACTGTCTCATTAAGCCATTTCAAGAGATGAAACATAAAATAACAGTTTTGTACCGTTTCTGAGATTTGTAAACTCAGGAAACAGAGAAACAAGTGTATGACAGCTTTTCAGTCCCTGCCCTTGGCAGGGGTGCTGTAACTAGATGATCTTAAGGTCCTTTCCAACCCTAACTATTCTGTGATTCTGTGATGCAGTCTTACCATGAAGGAAAGGTGGAAGGTTCACATGTGCCAGTGGCAGCTTTTAGACTTTCCAAAGCTGCTTCCCTGTGAAAATGAAGCCTGATTAAGAGTACAACAGTTTTATCACACTTCAATGACAAATGCATCACCAAACTGCTGGACTAAGATGAAGAGAGAGAATTTCTCCAGAAAATCACATTTTTCACTTGAAAATGATTAATACAGCTATGAAAACTCTTCTAATAATCATACAAAGTGATTCTTATTTTTAGATACGTAGTGATTTATTTTTAGATTACCTGGTTGAATAATTCCAGTAACAACAGACAAATACTCTTCAGGTTCCTGATCAGTGGAAATCTCGTTGCTGCCTCTATCTAAGGTCAGTGTCTCATAAAGTATCTCCGAATTCTCCACCCCACAAAGCAGAATCACCACATTATCTGGAGGTCTTAGAACTTGCTCCAGAAAGTAACTTCTCTTTTGATTCAGGCAGTTAAGAAGTCCACATGATAGGATAAGGAGTTTACATTTATAAGATGGTAAAGAGAATAGCTCCTGCTGCTTGAAAGACGAAGTCTCTATATTGTAGAGTAAGATTCCTTCTTCGTTCACTATGTGTCCAAAAAGCGATTTTAAATACAGAGCCCACTCTTCTGCTTCTTGTTCATATATCACGAGAATATCCTCTGTATTTTCTAGAGACAAGAAAATATATATATATATATAAATAAATTTTTTATCCATTATAAATATCAGAAGACATATTAGTTAACCCCCCCTCCCCCCCCCTTAAAAACTGGAGGACAGGTCATTGCCTTGAAATGACAACCATCTGCTTATTTCTAGACAAAGGCCGCCAGATCATCCACAGAAGTGCTGGTAAAAGAGCTCAGACTATTTTATGATGAGAACAGTATTCAACTAGTATTCAATTAGTATTTCAGAACAAATAATGAAATTGCAGTGCAGAAAGTAGAGCACATTCACACATTCTGCTCTCTCTTAGAATCTTGACAAATAGGTGATACTATTAAGAATGCAACCGTTCACTTATAATGGCAGTAGTAAAGAATATATATTTGAACACTGGACATGATCTGACTTTATCAGAAACAAACTGGTATGTTTAGGATATTTTGGCAGCATGGTATTAGGACAGTTGTTCGTTATCTTTCTTGACTGTCCTTATTCTAACAAAATACTTAAAAGACCTGACAAAAATCCAGAACGACCTTTTTGCAGTTCTGCATCTCTAAGATGCTAGTAAGAAGACTAATACTCTTCCACAGTGTTATGAGGGTGACAGTATGAAACAGAAACAATAGGCACAATCTAAAACACAAGAGGGTCCCTCTGAGCATCAGCAACACATTTTTCACTGTGAGCACTGGCACAGGCTGCCCAGGGAGACTGTGGAACTTCCCTTGCTAAAAATATTCAAAAGATGCCTGGACATGGTCCCGGCTCTAGGTGGTCCTGCTTGAGCAGAGCAGTTGTATAAGATGGCCTCCAGATGTCCCTTCCAACCTCAACCATTTTGTGATTCTGAGAAACTACAAAAACCTGTGATTTGCTGATCAACACAATATACATTAAAATGCCATGGTAACTTCAGACCCTGAAGCAGTTCACAATCACAGCCGTATAGAGCAACAGTAAGAGACTCGGGAATAGATACAGCTGTTGCACTTTACCTCCACTGAATTTCACTATGTCTCCCAGGTTCCTGATGGGTCAGGCAACCTGACTGACACTTGTCTGCAGTGCACCACAGCTTTTTCACAGGTGAGTATTTAAGCTGCTTCTTTGTGAATAACAAGAGATATTGAAAATGCAAATATACACAGAGTTTAAATGTTTCTTGGGATGCACTCCTGGAAACATAGTGCAGATGTAGCTAAGGAGAATTTAAACAAAACAAAACACAACAAAAAAAAAAACACAACAAAAACCTCAACTTGTCAAGGATCCATGCAAGTCCTTGTACAAAAGGAGAAACTGAACCTAGATTCTGAGCCCAGGATTACAGCTCTAGTTATGGACTCCCCTTCTTTTTAGAAGAAATTATTTCTAAATTCTGTTCATTCATTTTTTACTCAGGAGATACTTCTAATAAAATACCCAGCTGAAGGCTGACTGGTATTTGTAGAATAGGGGTACAACAGTTTGGTCTCTTGAGTTCATTATATGCCTATAAAGTGCTTGGTGCTTGGAGGACAGCTGCCATCTTTTAAAGATTTGTGAAGACTTTTGAAGTCTTTAAAAAAGTTTTCAGTCATAGGAAATCATACAGGGACATGCTCAGTATGGTAGTGGGTGATGATATTTCAAGATAACTGATATATGACCCTGACCAATATATTAGATCAGGGTAATATTTGTGAAAATGTGTTTGGAAAGGTGACTACTACATTCTCTATGGTAAAAACATTCTCAAAAATACCCGTTTCTGCTGAAATGCTGGAGTTTAATCATAAAGAAAAATAGTAGTGTATTTCTCATTTAACCCAGAGCAAATTTATGTTTTATGACACTACGATGAGAAACGTACTTGCTGAAATGTCCTTTTTGGAATCTCATTTAATTTTCCATAACTCTCACACAAAAAAATAGAAACAAAAAGCTATGGAGCTTGCTGCAGGGTTTCAAAAGAAGGAATTATATTAATGGAGCTGTAAGTTCAGAAGCTTTTTCAGTCTGACCACAACATTTTGTATCATAGGAAATGGCATCACCAAGCACCTTCTACTTTCACCCCTATTTACTAAAAGCATTGTGGATTTAAAGAGGATGCTCAATCCATGAAGAAGACTTCAGAACTCATTTTGAACATGCTTAGTTTCAACCTCCAGCCACAGAATGTAATTTTATCTGTTTCTGAAAGCTGAAAAAAGTATCTGCTCTCAGAATTCTGTCCCCTAAGGTCTTCAGACTCTTGTGAAGTGACTCTTAGCCTTGCCTTCATTACAGTTTGCAAACTGGGTTACTTTGCCCACTACAAGAGAGGCTTTGTAGAACTCCTACAATTCTTTCTGCACTTTTGCAAACTTTCTCACCTTTTCAAAATACTTTTGAGAAACTCCAAATTGTATACATGGTACAAGTTCCTTGACACAGTGTATAGGAAGAATAAAGTAATGTCACTTGAGATTACCTCAGATAAGCACAGAAAATTCACATTCAGTCTGTAAGTTAAAGGTCTCATTTTAAGTTCATGTTCAGCCACATTTCCTTCTACTATGATGGATTTGGGTAATGACATGGCTAAGTAGAATTGGAGGGAGGGGTAAAAAAGCATGTTTAAATTAAATGGTAAAAATATTTTTTATAGCTTCACAGAATCTTGATGTCCTGATCATGCAGAAGATCTGGCGGTGTCTTCCATAGCACCCACTTGGCCAAGTCTAAGCTTCTTCTCCCTGTAGAAGAAGAGCTCTGGTAAAGGCTGGTGCACTACTGCACCTCATCCCTGTGCAGACTGGAAGCACTCAAAAGGCATTTCCATATCCCAGAGCAGAAAAGAACTGCTGGACTCAATCATTCAGGCAGAGCTGAAGAGTTCACCGTGGGCATGGAGGATTAAGTTTTTTTGTAGAAATATGCTTAAAGAGTTGACTCCATATAATAATCATAATAAAAACATATGTAAGGTATAAAGTTCATGCCTGTGCAAATGGACAGCACAAGGCTTGAGTACTCAAGAAATTCTAAAGACGAAAGCAAGAAAGTTGCACTGAAACGTTAAAGGATGATGAAGTAATTCTATTTCCACATGGTATATCTGAACCTAAGTCCAGAGCTTTGATCTTAGCTAAGTGTGAATGAGAAAGGGGTTTTAAGATGTTTATTGAAGGTTTGACTGCATTTCTTTTTAACTATATTGATTTTTATATATGAGAAAAAGCTTTATTTGTATAAGGGAGTGAAATATATCTAACACCACACTTGATGGAAGAAAGGCTCTGCAACATGCATCTCATAAAATTTTAATTTAATATGGCTGCCATATTCAGTTTGTCTTTTCTATCTATATACAGAGGGAAGAGTCACACCATTGAGGAGAGACTCATACAAGCAAGGTATTTCGTGCAGCAGTTTGGTGCAATGTTTATCAGTTTAAAGAAAGCAGCTAGTGCTATCATGTTACCTGTGGGAAACCTAATGTGGCTTTGTTTTGAATTATATGCTTATATTTCTTTCTGTCACTGATATGCCTTCTTGATTTTTAACTTTGATATTAAGCAGGAATGCAAGACCTACATCTTACGTCACCAAAACTGTATTAAATTGTGAAATACCACTATTTTGAAATGCTTGCCTGACTTTAAATTTAAAGTTTACCCTAAGAATAGTTATGGAGTCCTCGATCTAAAATGTGTCTTTAGCTTTTTCCTGCTACACAATGTTTTGACTTCAGAAATTTTACTAAGATATAGATGCTTGAATGCAGCTTACTTGAATGTTAAAGCCCAGCCAAGACTCTGTCTTCAAAACAGTACCATTTTTACCTGAACAACAAAGGCTGAAGTCTAGCTTTAATGCAACACTGTCCAATATTGAATATACAGTAACAATGCTTAACTTTTCAACTAGAGTTTTTCCCCTTCATTATTTTAATCTCTCACTGATTTTTATTTTTTTTTTAAGTTATGGCACTTGGAGTATAACGTAGGTTGAGATGAATTTTGTTCCCTTGAAAGCTAATGTAATAGAAACTATCATATCCTGACAAAATTAAGCCATGCTTCAACTACTCCTACTTAGAAACTGAATCAAAGGTAGAAATAAAAAGTATTATTAGTTTAGCAATGAGAAACAGTAAGAGAACTTATGCGGTCATCCATAACCTGAAAGGGTTATTTTGACAAGCAAGTATATTCTCTAGTTACTGGTGTGTACACGGCTGCCACCAAAAAACACATCTCATCAAACATGCCATCTGAAGCCTTCTTTGAGAAGGCCTGATGAATCTTATGAGAATCAAATGAGACAAAAACACCTTTGCATGCTAATACGACCAAGCAGGAATCAAGAACTTGCATACACAAGAAAAAAGAACATCTTTTTATGGAAACAATTAAAAGATACAGTATGGAGGGGAAAAGAAAAAAGTAAGTATATTAGAAGTGAAAGAAAGAACTCAAGAACTCTGTAATGCACTAAACACATCAGCAAGGCAAAGGAAACAAATTAAAGACTGGGAACGGGTGGGCTACACTTTAACAGGTACCTCAGTTTATGAATCTTGCAATCCTGTGTGTTTAGAATTGAGCTAGAAGTACTTGTTAACACTCATCTTCAATAACAAAACTGCTCAATTAAGAAAAGCAAGCCCTCTGCACTAAGGCAAATTTATTCCCTGCCTTTTAAAGGCTTAATGTTTGTAGATTATGTGCTTTACTTCTAGATACCTGCATTTTACTACAGCTGTTTCCAGCAAATGAGCATTAACATACTTTAACTTAAATAAGGCTGATTTCAGTTAGGCTAGGGTTTAAAAATTGACTCTACATTCCCACTGCCTTCGGATGCTTTGACAAAAAAATAGTGACACCTGAACATCAACATTTAACCCAAACTCTAACTGAAAGATGGACACTGTATATTTCTCGGGGTCATCCACAGCCTTCTCCAGTTAATATGCTGAACCCAACAATGTCATACCTGTTGTTCAACCAGCTACCCAGGAATTCCT